CCCCTCCCGCCCACGCACCCTGTTGCGTCTCTGCAGGCAGCTACCGGCCATCCAGGGGCGCTCCCTGAAGGCAAAGGAGGGGAAAGAGAAACGAATTCCTCTGGAGAAACCCAGAAGAGCAGACTTCACTGCCAGAACCACTGAGAGGAGACAGAAGGTACCTGACACGGGCTGCCGCAGCGAGCGTGTCGGACGGGACCGTAGAGAAGCGTCGCTCCGTGCACGCCGATTCTCCCAAGATTCGTCACCGTGTGTTCACGGGGCTGCTGCCGAGTTGCTTCCGCGCTTATTTGAAGAGAGGCGGGTTACTCTGCCCGTTGAGAACAGCCTTTTCACTTCCGACGGAATCGTGAAACACACCCGAAAACCTTGTGGATGTTTCTGTCGGCAACTGACCGCAAGGCTTGTCGGGGATAGCCAGGGGCCCGGCGGTCGCTGGTGGAGCCTGCAGGAGCCTGGGAGCAAAGCGGCGTGGAGGGAAAGGCAGAGAAGGGGCAGAAAGGAGGGTAGGCATGAAAACAGGTCAGCCCTCTGCAGGGGCTGTTGCCTTTTGGTCTCCCTGCAGAATAAACGCTTAAAGGGGAAGGAGAAGCTTCCAGAAACACGTCCAGAAATACTTGGAGAAAGAGAAAAAGCAGCTGGCAGAAGAGAAAAAAAAGGCCGGTGCAGGAGCCTTTCCCCACGGACACACCAGGCCCTGCGGGAGGTGGCGACGTGCATCGTGGGGCAGGTCGCCCAGCTCGGGAGCCCCCGCTGCAGAGCGCTCTCCCTGTGCTCGCACCGCCTCCTCCCGCTGCGCCTGCAGTGAGCTGGCAGTGCTGCAGCGGCATCGGTCGGGGACAGGGACGTGCAGCAGCCACCAACTGCGGGAGGCTGGACCCCAACCCGCACCCCCTGCTAGGCCAGGGAAGAGGAGGGCAGGACCGGTACGTGGCAGGGGCTCCTGGGGGCACTGTGTCGTATCCACCCGTAGAAAAGCATGTACACGTGCGACTTCTTTCAAGATCCCTTAGCGTGCACTTAGCCGACGGCTGAAGCACTTCTCCCGAGGCTTTCGGGAGAGGCAGCAGGTTGTTCTGTCCGTTCAGAAGGCAGCCTTCGCTTCTGTCACCTCCAGAAACACCCCCAGCCTTGATGTGGTTGTGGTTGCAATGGCGGCGGCACCGCCAGCCTTGTCTGGGGTAGCAAGCAGCTGGGTTGCTTCCAGCCCCGCGGTCGCTTGGCTCAGGGCTCGTCGCAGAAAGGCTCTGCAGCGGGTCCGTGAGGGCCGCGAGCAAAGCAGGGCTGATGAAGAGGCTGAAAAGAAGGGGGCAGGAGGGAGGGGGAGAGCTCAAGCCCCCCCAGCCCTCCGCCGGGGAGACCGCAGCCCCTGCTAGAGGAGGAAGGATGCAAGCGCAAGAAGTTTCAGCAGAAGGCGAGGGCAAAAATGGCAGCTCCAAAGGCCTGGAAAGAAGAGCGAGAGCAATGGCAGGCGCAGGCGGTGAAAAATGCTTAGGAAAAGGGCGTTCCTCTGCTGCCGGGGAGCCAAGGTGGGAAGGTCCCTAAGCCCTAGGAGCGTGGGGGCTGCCTGCCTTGCGTGGGGCCGTACCAGGTCGAGGCGCCTTCCCTGCGGCATCTCCTGCGCTCACCCCTCTCTGTGCAGGGCTCCTGCGCTGGCGGCACTGCAGAGCGGTGGGGAGAGGGCCGAAAAGAGCCTGCCGTGGAGGACGAGGAGAGCCCAGAGGACGCGTTGAGTCTTTGCCTTTCGGAGCCCTCACCTCTGAAAAGGTGAGTGTGGGCCAGCTTGAGGCCAGACCGGGCCAGCTGGGGGCTGGTGGCCCAGCTGGGGGGGAGAGAAGCAAGTCCCAGCGCCATGGGGCTGGAAACGGACAGGAGGAGGAGGAGGAGGAGAAGGAGGAGGAGGAGGGAGGAGGAGGAGAAGGAGGTGGAGCAAGAGGAGGACGAGGGAGGAGGAGGAGGAGGAGAAGGAGGTGGAGCAAGAGGAGAAGGAGGAGGAGGAGGAGGAGGAGAAGAAGGTGGAGCAGGAGGAGGAGGTGGAGCAAGAGGAGAAGGAGG